AGAAGTCAGTGTCGTAAATACTGGGTAGTCTGTCTGTTAAACTCTCGTGTCTCGTAGCCAAAAAAATGTTATTCCGACAAACAAATTGATAAAAAGACATCAAAAATGTGAACGATGTAAAACCCTAATAACATCAGCATTATTTCTTCTCATTAGCTGTCTGTTCACTGCATTGCACGTCCCCTTACCCTATTATGTAATTGTTACTGTTATGTAGGCGCCTTGCCTGATCTCAAGCTGGTATAATATATATATATATATATATATATATATATATATATATATTCGGAATAAATTTTCTCCATCCTCACTGTCCTGTAGCCAAAAATAATAACGAGTTAGCAAATTTATACAACACTCGCACAACTTGGATACCAGCGAATCCGGTCAGAGTTACATGGTGGTTTGTTGACCCATTATGTGCCCTTTTGCAAGCCTCTTTGATTACATCGCGACGTCCGCAAACGGTGCAACGGCAGTGACGGCGTACGCATGTATCTGCTGCGTCTTGACTACAGCACATGGACTGGTGAGATAAGGCGTAACCGGTAGAACCGAGCTAATTTGTGACCACAGAGTCATTGAGTATCATTAGAAGACGAGGGGAATGGTCCAGTATTGATTGTCTCAACTGCATGGCTAGTTCAAGTGCTGTTATCGGGTGGAAGGTACTCGGTAAAGACAGTAAGGGTGCGAAACGTGGAGTGTGACTCGCTGGTGTTGGTGTCTTGGACCGTCTAACGTTTCTGGAATGGGTGCGACAATTTTAGAACGGCTTATTATTCTTATTAGGGCGGAGGAATGAAAACACGGTATCATCAAGATAAACGTAACTATGTCTATTTGAGTTGAGTTCAAGCCATTGGTAATTCAAGAGAATCATATATAAGTCCACGTGAAGCCACCAAGTTTTGCACAATTAACAAAGTGCAGATCATATATCCCCTTGCTCATATAGTAAATACGGTTTGGAAGGTGCACGACTGACCATATTCTGCATTGGTAACTTGAGAAATATTAGGAGGTAGAAATCGGATGTTTTGTTAAGTGCTTTGAGAAACAAAGGAAATAGTGAGCGTAAATTTACCGCAGAATCAATTGAAAATACTCGATTGGGACATCAGAACACTCGGTAGAGAACAAAATTTTTTTCGGTGCTTTACAACTGGTTAAATACAGCACATTTGATAGGCATGTAAATCAAAATAATAAAAGAAAGAACAAGAAAATTGGTGATTTCGGTGACAATAAATGACAATTTCGTGACAGTACTATCGATTTCACGAGAGATAGTATGTGTTGATAACTGTGATGCAGAATTTTCTTGAGCTGTCGAATTGGAAAGAAAAGTTAGCCCAATTTGCGCACGCAATTGACGGCATGAGAATATCAGTGCTTAGCGTCATTCCGAGATAATTTAAAGATAAAACTTGGTGTAATAAAATAGTGCGCAGGGTATACTTGTCGTTCGAGGAAGATGGGCGAGATGTATAAAGATACATTCGGAACACTTGGAGGGGTTTAGGGAAAGATCAAGCCTTTCCGAATGGCTCGCAGTGGTTTGAAGATTATTAGATAGGTAATTTATTCCACTTCGGTTGAAACAGTATGAAAAGTGGTTACGACATCAGCATGACTAATTGCGGTTCCGTGGGAACAAGACGGCAGGTCGATAACTTTGATGTGAGAAAATGCTCGAAAGAGCAGCAGCTTTAAGGGTGCGAAATTTATTTATCAAGATTTTGGATGACCTACCGACAAATCTAGTTTTTGGGATACGTCCCGAAAAGTGGTCCGTATGTCATGTCCATAAACTAAGTGAGCAACCGGAGGAATGAGGCTTGTGTGTACCAGTGGTCTTGGAATGAAGTTATTGTTTGAAGAATAGTCATTTAATATGTAATTAACTGGTTTAACAGAGTCATTTTGCAGTAGATTGTTACAATGAAGTACACCATTTTCGGCATTGTTTTGGAGTTAGGTGCAATTATTCGGAAATGCCACCCGACTGTCTGTTTGAGATTTCGTCTTCGATGATCTTAAGACCGACATATCAGTCACTCTTGCATATTTCGCGTAAGTGGTCACCCCATGCGTCCATCATCTGTGCGTTGCAAAACAATGTATGTCCACAATTACATACGTGGACTCAACCTTGTCGTGACCGGAGCTAAAAGACTCAATAGCTATCACGTAACCGAACTACTCAAAGACCGTGTTGAACTGCGGTGTATCATTTGTGTGCCAAGAGAATTTTTATCAACGCGCGGTGACAGTGAAGATTGATTGAAATTAGGATACATTTGCTCCATGGTAACCGCACTGTAGCTCTCGTTTCCCATTGATACCCTCGAAGTCAGTCTCTGACCACAGTGTGACTTCACCCTCTTTGTCCATTTCGCCAACTTGGGACGCGTAGCGCCGACTGAGAGACTTGCTTCTGTCTGCTGGTCTTATTAATGATCGGTTCTCGACCACTTGGTTCGGTCACGTGATATTTGCTCAACCTCTTAACTCTGGTCACGACAAGGTCGAGTTTATGTGTGAAACTGTAGACGCACATTGTTGTCCAGTGCACAGATTACGAGAGCATGGGTGGTCACCTACGCGAAATATGTAAGGGTGACAGATACTCCGGTCTTCAGATCATTCAGAAGGAAATCTCAAACAGCAAGTCAGCTGGCATTGATGAATAATTTTGACCTAATTTCGAAACAGTGCTGCAAGTGTTGTAGATAGGATACATCATATCAATATATTTGTGTGATGTTCCAGTGGCACGCGTACGTGTTATGATTTTTATTAAAAGGAAAACATCAGTGCTCCGGTATTTCCATGATACAATACCCCGGTCTGCTTTCGAGTAACACATCACTTAGTCATAAAGGATAACCCAGAATAATTGGTTTAACGTCAAAAATTACCATAGTAATAAAAAGGTCGATTCGAAAAATAGTTCACATAACACGACACAATGTGATATTTCCAGTAAAATGCTACAGTTCTTATTTGATTTTTTGGTGCGATGTAAAATGAAATGACGTAATTTACTACTCTTATCCCATATCATTTATCCTCACAATAAGAACAAGACGCTAGAGAGCGAACAATTGTTTTCAATGAATCCTATACGTGCTCTTACTATTCATACGGGTGAGGCAACATTGGAATGCATTAGCCATTGGCCGGAGTAAAGGTCATTGTCGTGGCGTTAGGAAAAAGGGGTTGGTGGGGAGGAGTGTCTCTATCGTGTGCGGGTTGTGGTGAGAGTTTCACTCCCACCGTCACGAGTGGTAATCGATGGTGGACTTTTGGGGTTCGGTCGGCGGTCCGTGGTTTCCGCAGCTTCAACACACGATGAATCATATTATACAAATCTAATCTCCTACGACTCAATTGCAAATAGGAACCAAGCTCTATGGGTTATTCATAACGGAATGTCTTCGTTGTACTTAGGCCCCTACAGAGAAGCCATCCATCATGGGAGTCGATCGCTGTGCGGGAAGCGGGTTGTTACCGTTCAAAGCCAGTGATGGAAGGGTGCTATATCATGTAGTGTAGATTTTCACCAAACCATTGAGATCCAGCCCGGATAGCCTTGTGGTTAAGGTGTTCGATTTACAATCGTCCACCCCGGGTTCGAGTCCCCATGGGGGCTCGGTGGATGTGCACTGCTGATGATTCCCAACGAGGATGAGACAGCTGTACAGTGCTTCCATGGTTTTCAATGGTGAGTTGAGCGTTGAAGCTGCATGATGAATCATTATACAAATATAATGTCCTACTACTCAATTGCACATAGGATTCATTGAAAACAATTGTTCGCTCTCCAGCGTCTTGTTCTTGATGTGACCATGACCGTGGGACTATTCTGACTACCCTCACAATGTTATCTATTTGATCGGAAAGTAGCACCTTCCTTAGAACAGAGCCATGGAATCGCAGAGGGGAATATCAAGTGAGGCTACAGATTAGTGAACAAAGACGACAATAGCAGATTTTGGTACAGCAATCAGCGAAGAAGGAAATCGAATGACTGAGGATGAAATATTGAGTCCCCACATAACCCATCAGATGGCTGTCGTGTTCAATGCAGTTCGTAACCAATTGATTTAACATAACATACAAACGTACAAAGCACCCAGTTGGCATGGACATCTCAGCACACTAGCATATTCACTTGGAAGACGTTGACGGGACTGAAAAACGTAAGCAACAGTGTCATTGATCCTTCGCTCACGGACACGTTCCATCGGGTTTTCCTCCCAATCCATAGAAACTGATTGGATTGTTACTGACAATATTCTCAGTAGCACGAACTGGAATTTGACCGAAATCCACAGTCACTGGACAAATTTACAGACTACATAGTGACGTTTACATTACTTAAACTGATGAGCCACAAAGTGGTAAGTTGCGAACTTCGGTCTCCTCAGGATATCTAAAGAATTTTTGACCACACTATGCGTGCGCGAGCCTAAGCTTGCGTTTAACTGGCGAAATCGGACGCACCTGCGTTCAAATTCCGTTCGCTGTTCGTCACTAGAACATTCTATAGGTTGACTTTAACGGGACGTCATGGTCACAACTACGGTATTTTTAGGTCTGGGTCAGACCCACTTCATTACAGTCGAATCTCCAGGTTGAATAAAAAAGCTCACCTATTCAACTCTACTTTTTGCAGGTGATTTTTTGCCATATAATGCATAGGTGCATCAGCATTTCTCCCAATACCAATTGGTATTTTTAAGGGAATCATTAGACACGTACACTTTCGGACAAATTTTTCCGTAAATATTTAGGATTTCAAAATTGTTCGTTTCTTCATCCCAAACTCCTATTTTTCAATCACATGTATATTTTCAGATTGGTAATCAAATAACCTTTTGTGCAGTGTGTAGGAGTGAATGAAAAAGTCCTAATTTGTCAATAACGAGTCTATTTATGAGTTGAGTACATGTGAAAAAAACAATGAGAAAGGCAACCATTGAAAGACTGACCTGTGTAAACTGCTTGATCGATACTGTACAGTTCTTCATCGGACGATTTATTCACAATAGCTTCCTGGTGGTCAGCATGCTCTTTTGCGGTAGAATCAATCTCAGCTTCCAAACCAAACTGCCGGAGCATTGAGTCCACGGTAGGGACTGCTAGGATCATGCCCAATGTCTCCTCGCTCACAACGGCTCCTGAAGCAGCTTTTCCCGAAACCGAATAATCTGCGGGGGTCGTGTCCAATAGTTCCATCTTGATAAGAAAAGAAAATCAAAAAGAATGAGATTCACAATCAGCTCCTGTTTACAAAATATCAGTCACTTAATTGCTTAAAACAACTAATCAATCAGTCAATCAATCTCGAGGTGTCCGGCCAGTCAGTCGACAAACTCGCTAGCCGGACTAACTGATCGATCAGTTGACCGATCCAGTAAATTCCATCCTACATTTGCACTTACTTGTGTGGGTCGTTTGAGTCGTTCAAACCGTTCTGCTTGAAGAAGCAAGTTGTGCTCCAAAGCTTCGTGTCTCTGGATCAAAGCAACAGTAGATTGGATGGAATCGCCTGTTTCGTTCAAATGTAGATCAGCTTCATGAACTTCCAACCATTGTTCCGCTGCATCTGCTTCACTATACAAATTGTGAAAATTAGTCAGCAAGAGGAGACAGTGACAACATTTGTCCGAGAAAGGCACAACTACAGACAAATGGCTTTGTTATTCATACTCATCGAGTATGCATTTTGAAGCAAATGACCACCTGAATGACTGAGACACAAAGAATAAATCTTTCGAAGCAGTTTCGCAAACTCACCAGTTCGATTGACTGTTCTGAACTGTCCCACTAACCCGATCTAGAAGACTTTTCTGCTGCGAATTACCTCAGTTTATTAGTTGAGAATGCACTGTTTATATAGAAAGTAGGAATCACTGTCGCGAATCATTTCAACACAGATCAATTGGTTCAACCTTGTATTGGATAATCTCTCTTCTGATTGGTTGATTGGTGATATAGCCTCCCGACGTGAATGATTTCTCGTTTTATCGATCCGCAGTCCTATAGATTGCGAATACGCTGACTCAAGCCTTGACCTGGATTGTGGGCAGGTGGTGACTTTCTCTCTGCTAATGGGACTTGGCTGTCTATCGACCATGTGTCAGTCCCAAATCTCGCAGTATCCGCATCAATTACGACATTATTCAGTTGTTCGCATCAAAACGTTCACGCAGTGAGCCGAAATCGAACCTGCGGCTTTCAGCTGGTACAGCGAATTTCCGGTAAACGAAAGGTCACAGATTCGATTCTGACTCGCTGCGGAAAAGATTGGTGAGTTTTCCAGTGTTTATATGATTTCGACTCCTCAAGACTCTAAGAAGTTCTACATCAATGCTACTGGACTGGAAAATAGAGTCGTTGAACTAAAAGTCAACATCTTTTTCGACATTTCCATTCTATGATTGAGTATTATCAAACGTAGACGACTGATCTGCACTTTTGATGATTCACTAATTGCCAACGTGTTTCAGATCCTCTGAATAACAATTTGCCACCCAAAAACTGCCACTATGAATTGCTGGTTCACGGCAAGCAAATCAATGTATGCTTTACTTTATTTTGTTTTATATAGTTAGTCAATGAAGTGCAGCATCTCTCTTCATGTTTTATATTATTGTTCATGCCTTCAAATGGTTTGAATCTCGCCATGGCTCGTCACTTTAGTGAAAGATATTAATCCGCTATCTCACGACTTGTTTCCACACTTGAGCTACTGGTACGTTATCTGAATCATCACTACAAGTCTGAGGTTTCACAGCTGCCTCAATAGGGCAGTGATCTTCACAGGCCATGGGGCATACCCCTTCCACTGCACTCATGCGTAAGCATATATATATATATATATATATATATATATATATATAATGGAAAACCAAACCCATCACAGGATAGCTAAAATTGTACAGGAATTCTACTCCGTGAATTTCTGAGCTACATCCGAGACACTCACACTGATATATAGTCACTGATTGGTGAAGCCAAAGTCGCTGATTCAAATCCTGGTACAACTGGTCGACTTACAGCTCCACTGTTCCCAACCCTTTACCACGGCTGACCTGTTTGGCTCCATGTGTCTAATCATCACTCCTAAAGTCACTGTCATGGCTACTGACCATCTACCAGAAGCACCAAGAAATAAAATGACTTTCATGTACGTCCCTCCCATGGCATCCTATATGGTTTGTCTGTGCAAGAATTGTTCCGCTTCTTGGTGTCAGTTTTACCCGTGTACACAGGCGGGCAATATGCCAGGTAAAGTCAACTTCAAGAGACTTCTGGGAACCGCCTTTGGCCTCTAATATTATTATGCTTATTTGAAATTTCTCGAAGTTTTTACAACATAAATTTGATTTGGATAACTGCACCCAGCAACGCTAATTTCAATTTAAAAATGTATACAAACCAGTCTGTGCTCTGAGATCTGCTGTTTTCAACTTCTAAGACTACGTTGACCGACAACACCAGTTATGTGCGGTTGGGGCCGTTGACTCTATCGGACGAAAGAAATAATACACGGATAAGACACAACGAAATGTGCACTCACATGCAAGGAGAAAGACTGTCAACACAATTCGCCAAATCACTTTCACATATACATAAAACCACTGTTCACATACCGGTCAGTAGATGAAGACCACTGATGTGACAATGGTGACCAAGATACTTGGAAGAGGGGAGCGGGTTTCATCCTCAAGTAAGTCCACTTGACTAAAACTTCCCATCAAAGGACAGGCACACCCACACGGAAATACATGGGAACGGATACACAGAAAGACATAAAGACAAGCAATTTAGTCATAGCATTCACTCACTGACAGCTGAGAACAGGGTTCTGTTAGGATCGAATTGTTTCAATGAACATCATGCAACTCACTTCATACCTTCGTTTTCATGCTAAGTATTTGCATAATATGCGCATGCGTTGTGATATATCACATTTTCTCTAATAACTTACGAGGCGAACGATGCCGCACATAGCTGAAATTTCAATCGTTTGCACACTTCACACCAAAACTGTTGCAGTTCACACCACCTGGTGATTACATCGATCATATTCCGCTTCACTTCATTCGATGAACCGAAAACGGGGGCAGAAGACGTGTGCGCGGTTGAAGGTAAAGGTGATGGCGAGAGCGGGGTTAAATCTGAGTTAAAAACGACGAATCCCGACTCTGATGCTCCGGGTCCTTTGTTCTTGTGACCAATCGTTTCATCATCAGTCAGGTCATCACTGCCGGCCACAGACTGGTCTGACTTGATCTCACTGCACCTTGTAGATGAAGACGATGGTCTTTCCTGCCCGGACGAACTATCCGCACGCGAACTATTCCTTCTATGTCGAGACTCGATTACTTTATGCTCATCTCGTTCAGCGGAAATCGTTTGAGGATCCTCTCCAACCGTAGGTCTGCTGAGGAGACTGTCCGGTGAGGTAGGTGCCTCGCTCGAATTCATATCTAACTGATTGTCGATCACAATAATCGGTGTCGGACGTCGTGGGTTCGGGGTTTGCATGCTCCCATAAGTCTCTTTACTCTGATTGAGAAATGTATGATACAACTGTTCGCCGCTGCGCAAACACGACAGGATCGATTCTTTGCGTGCATTCATCTCCGTATGATAATGAAACAAGAGCCCTAGACTAGCACGAATCGATTCTGTGGACCTGATTGGTTTGGAAACGAAGGATCAAGAAGGCGACGAGTTAGGTACGTTTGCAATAATAGTTGTAATGATAGTAATTACGCTGATTACTGGAAAAATATAGTAAATCTCTGTCACACCCAGATTGCTTTGGGCACTGCTTAGCTGAAATAGCACAAATACGTTAAAAAAAACTTCATCGGAACTTTGCTGAAATAGTCTAGTCAAAAAATAAATATCTGTATGACTATTTGAGAGGATGAAGAAGCTGGTGAATGATATAGTCTACTAAATTTCAAACCACCGAAAACTCATAAAATCTCTGCTTTTCTTAGCTTTCCATATCTTTTGTTATTTTCTAAGTTGTAGGTTCTTGGCCGGAGCATCCAGCTTTCCCAAGACAGTGCTATTAGTTCAGGGGAAAGTACCAATTTCCCTAAAGGTTGTGCAACTAAATAGTATTCATGTACACTGTTGTTCTACTGCTTCAGCATCCCCAAACTGTCTACCACTGGTTCCTTTTTATTCTATTTATTTTGTTTTCATATTTAGTAACAAGATCATCTGATGAACATTTGATAATTTTGTCTCGAGTACCTAATTTGGTTTCCATGAGAACATATCTAGCGTGTACTGTAATTTGTTTTCTTACAGCACCTAGTGGATGAATTGGCTTCGAATATGGCACCGGTGAATCACTGTTTTGTTCACGAATTGTGCTACTACGAACTTGATCGTTCAACAGGATGGTTTATTTAAGCCACGTACATGTTTTCCCGTTGTTATTCGAACTTTTCACATCGTCACTCAGAACTGTAACAACCTTTCTAATCCCAAAATGTGATGTCAAGGATGGAACCCATCAAAACTCACATATGTTGCCTTGGTAGCAATAAAAAAGCGTCGATATTGACGAGGGTGCAACAAGACCGAGTGTTTTTGGGATTTGAGCGGGGCGCTCTTCCCGAAGCTCATTTGACCACCGCCGCTTATCAGAAGAAATTTGTTTAAATATCTTTTACTTGGCACAATACAACTTTAAAAAAGCAAATAAGACAGAATTCTTTTTTTCTTCGTTTGTTACGCGAAGATGTGCAACACTTCTGTAAGAGGGTCGCGGCTATTAAGAGGCTGCCAAATGGGAACTGGAAGTGTTTGCCATTCCACAATCTTCAAATTGCACAACAAATCACATATAAAAAAGCAACAGTAATAATCCGGGTAATCAGAACCGCTTTATAACCATGTAGAGGAACTAATTGGTGATGGATTCATTGACTACGACTCGTCTATGTAACATCAAGCTCTAGCGAAGCCTTTCAAATGAATCGTACGTTACGGACATCTGTGGTATAGCTAGAGAAAGAAGAGGTGGAGCTCGATAATTTGAAAAGCTTTAGTTACAAGTACACATGATCGATGTTATGCAATCAGCAATCGTCCTTTTGTGAATTAGACAGTAGAAGCAACCTTCATGTAATGATTTCCCTGGCCTCCCTCAGCGAAACCAGTGCTTTAGTGTAATGGGTCAACTTATGATCTCAATCCTCTATGTGTCTCGTTTTGTCTCTAAAGTCTTTCGTTCTTTAGCAACGCGGATGTACTGGTGACCACCGTATGCCTTGGAAAAACGAATACTCAATGAAATAATTCATCACTCGCGTTTTTCATACGTGCCATAGTCAATACATGGTTGAAGGTGAGGGACGGACACGAACATTCATCCCCCACAGGCAGGCCCTTGCACAGACTGACGCACTTAACAACCAGTATTTAGCTCAAACACGAAGGAAACCATCATTTTGCTTGTGTGTCACGTCGGAGTGGGCAGATTTCATTTCATGACTTGAACACAAGTTTACGGTGCCTAAAGGCCGTCGATAAAAATGACGATAAGTTCTACACGCCATAAAGGGTTAACAGTTCAGACAAAACTTCATTCTTGTTTGGTAAAGCACGAGCAGAACGACGGAACTACGACAGATCTGTGCAGCAATCATTTTGGAGGAATTAGTTTAAAACAGAGAACGGATCAAGGGGTGAGATCGACTGAGCAAAAGATCACAATGCAGTAGACGTGGACGGTCAGAGATGCTCTTTTCGGCAACCACCTTGGATACTATACTGTGCTTATCATATAAGTTTGACACGAGGTCTCTCAAGACTATGCCAGAAACAAAACTGATGATGTATAAACCTCTACGAAGAGTGATGTAGTCCTTTTCAATCAGACTAGGGAAAAGTACGGGAGAGTAAAACAGACTTATGGGGAGTATACATTGGCGTACGTAATATGGAACAGTAAGGATGGCTGTTAACAATCAATCAGACAATCTATCTCCCACGAGTCCCAAAAAGTATTCGTCTACTCTACCGTTGTTACCAACCGAGTTCGCCAGCGGTTCAAATGGGAGTGAGTAGCGTGGGATTTCCCTAGAAGGGTATCCCGTGCATCAGAAATGTGCGCCATTTGACGTGATTATACTTGGAATATAAAATAAATCACTTCTTAGAGTAGAAATGTCAATATACCTTGGTGAGAGCGAGATCAACCGTCAGCAACTCTGTTTGGTTGTCGGGACTACGTTCATCAAAGATGATAGTCGTACAACAAGCAAACAATCATTTCTACGGGACTCACATTCCCACACAAACGCGAAAGGGCTTTTCGGCTCTAAGAACGAAGAAATGCGCGACTTACCACTTCAAATTAAACCGTCGAAATTAACGTGGTCGTGTGCTTGATCATACTCACAAAGCTGAGTAACTATGGCGATGTCTGTCAACTAAATATTCCAACCACTACAGGCTTTCCTACCGTTGAGTTGCCTTCATCAACAGCTTAGTAGCCACTGTTGATCATTTTGGGATTACAGCCTAGGATACAGTGATCAAAACTTCCCGATACACCCAAACAATGCAAGGGCACATCATGTGTGAGATTTCAGTTCCAGATGCAGTCATGGTAGCTTTGTGCGAGGATCTAATTCGCCGCTTTCCGGAAGGTTAGACCGTCAAGGAACGCAGGTTCGAAATGTTCATGTAGGTCTGTAAATAAACTTTGAATCCGGCTTGACTCGCCTAATCAGCTGCATTTGACAGTCATAATTTCAATGTTATTGGACATTCAAAGAATTATTCGGATGTGTAAACCCGTTTTCCTTTGACTAACCAAGAACATTTCCCTTGTTGTCCCTGCATATTCAAGATAGTGACCGGCACAAACCTACCAAGCCCTTCAAATAGGACAGCGTTGTACCCTTGCGTGGTATGGGTGTATCTTAAAGGTTTGGTTACTCTACCCTAGGCCGCGATCCCTACCAAACGATTGCCCGTGGTTAATAAACGACAAGAAAACCTATAGAGAGCAGAAGCTGGTGGAGAATTAATTTGAATGTTTGCGATTGTAACTTTTGGGGTAGAATGTGATAAGCTCGGATTCATAACCATCTTCATCGAAAATGTCAATATCACCCGAATGACATAAGTGTTAATAATAAAGGCAATAATAATAATATTAATAATAGTGATGATAATAGTCCAGGCTATTATCGAAAATACAGTTTTCAGTTTGGTTTTATTGGATTCCTCACCTTCGTGCAAGAAAGCGCAAGATGAGTGTTTCTACTGAACTTAAAAACGGGTCACCGTAACGTACCACATGTATCCGATTTCGGCACGAGTGATTTCGGAATTCTCCTCCGGGTTGAGCATGTGACCTACTTCTGTGCGAGTATTCTGAATCCATCGAACTATCTCATTGACTGTGGTTAACCATCTGTGTAGAGTAATCGCTTCTTCTAGTCGTTTCCGTCTGCGTTGCATCCGCGTACGCAACTCGTTCATCAACCCAATCAGGTTATCGCGTGGTTTAGTCAGACGAACTGTCCATTTGCCAGCATACAATGGCAGTAATTGTTCCGCACTTTGGTTGATCATCTGCACCTGCATAAGCAATTTGTGACCCAGTGTGCGAAAAGATGTAATGATAATGCCAAAGTTTTTAGTTCCATTTTTAACTACACAATAATGGTACATTTCGCTAAGGAGGTCAAGACGAATTAGGACCTACTGAAAATGGTGTCCGGTGGTGGAGGGATTGCTCAAACCCCGGAACTCCAAGTTCTCTATGACGACCACTTCATCAAAAATGGTTAAAAGTAACCATTTAACTACGTCTGAGGTAGACAAGCAAAGAGATGTCAAACGGAAACACATGAAAGTTTAAGCCAGTGAACAGAAGATTAGATAAATGGACGGATAGAAAGAAGATAAGCACGTGGACAGGGGAACATCGAGTTCGCATCAAAATGCTCCTCCTGGTCAGAGGAATCGCTAGCAATACAAATAGTCTGTGTTTCGTGCTATTTTATAATCAAAGCAATGATAAAATTTACTAACAGAACTACCAGCCGAAAAGGAATCGGCAACCTTCGACCCACTAGACGGTTGCACTACCTGCTGACCTATCGCACTACGGCCGCTAAAGACACGAAGCACGCAAGTGAATATCCAATGATTTGCAACTACTATTTCAGTGGTACAAAGCAACTGTCCTGATTTTGATCAGTGGAAGAGCACCATTAAGTAAAGTGTTTGCGGATCACTGTATTCCTGAATTCGTTATTCGAGCCCGACTGACCGTGGCGTGATAGCGCAGATGGTAGAGTAACTGCCCAGCAAGATAGCTGGTTTTACTACAGATTTTGAATGAGAATATGCTGATGAATTCCCCATTATCTACTTGAAGTAATCAAGCAAAATAGTCACCTGTAGTTCCGTTGCTTGGAAGTCCTGTTCGAATGCGTTCTGTTGAGAGACCTGTTGACAAATTATCTTGAAGTCCGCACCAACGTCGTCCGGAAGCTGTGTGGCTTTCTCCCTGATAAATTCGTGTAGTTCCTACAATTATCGTCAAAGTTGGAGTGCCACAAAATGAACTGTGAGTCATTGAGTGAAGGTTAGTGAAAATGATTGCGACATACACTACTATGTGCAATATTCCTTGAATTCCTATAGAGATTTTATTTCTTGTTCGATCCATGTGACCAGTGTCAGCCAACCGGAAATAACTCAGAATGACTTTTGTCTACTCATCAGTAGTGTATCTCGAATTTACAATCACAATGATGAACCCAGTAACAGCTGCGGCGAGTGGTCAAGCAAGTCTTCATGATCGAAAAGCTCAGGAAGCATTGTAGAATGGGTTACATTTTATTACAGATCGTAAATAAGGTATTCTATAAAGTCTAATTATATCAAGAAGTTGTTCGTTGAACCATCAGCATTGACAGTCATATTATACCCCAAACAATGAGAAGACGTGTAAGTAATTTTGAGATGTGTGCAAAGACCGGTAAAGTAATGGATTTTGAAGTCTCTACATTTCTATAAATCGAACGAGTAGTTGAGACAGTCAGTTCTTTGGATAGAACCAACATGGAGGGAGGGGGTCATACTAGGGCAGGATGAACATGCTCCTTGTAACTGCCCTACTCTGCTAACGACTACATTGTTGCGTTATGCTGTGACCACGACTGTTTTGGGTTACAGAGAGTAAATTTATGTTACCATCTGCCGGGATTGTCGATTTACGGGCTTACTACCCCCGCTGTATACAGCGCGAAGCTTCTAATTCGGTTCGAGACATTAGTCGGGGCTTGGTAGATCGCTCTGAATGACCCGTCGATATCTACTGACTGCAGAGCTTCTAATAACCTTTGTTACTCATCTCCCGACTGTGCTCTTCTGTCCTATTGATCAACGATCTTCGTAGTTGTTACCACGGAGGCAGATAGTTGGTAGGCGTTTGGCAAACACTTCTTCCTGAATTTTAATCATTACACTTGAATGCTGACTATCTCATATATTCATTTGCATGGAAAATAAAGGATTTTTGAGAATTCTTGGCTGACGGACTTTTTAATAACCAAATCAAACCTCTTATACAGGCAGTAATCTGATACAATACTTAGGATTTCTGGCCGCTTATCGACAGGCTGACAGTTGTCTAATTCTATAGTCCACCCGCTATTCTAATCATATACGATACCAATTTACTTGTGGAAATTCCCACTCTGTCCAAGCGTGGTTCAACAGTTTGTGCTCTCCATATGTAATTTCCACTACAATCAACGTTACGACTAACCGTCTACAGGGTATGTCATTATAAAGAAAAAGGTTAACAGGCGATAAAGAAGGAATATCTTAAATCTCTCACTCTCAGCACATACACGCACATACACTCACCTTGCTTGATTGACGCACACAGACTCGGTAACTAAACCCACTACTCAGTTAGGGTTACGTCACCATGTGTAAACTGACGATGACTCAATTGCATTCAAAAAACCGGAGTGATATAATGTTACTTAAGGTCTCTCACATGGTGATCTCAATTTTCGATTGACCAAGCAAACGAGCTAGGCTGAACTGTGTTCACTACGATCATTCACGGTCTCATGAATGGAGTAGTCTCCGTACAAACGGGGTTCTGATGAACGACGTAAGACAGTTTCTTGGAATCACATCTGGATTTACCATTATTAAACGAAGAGTGAAGTGAAGTCAGCATAATGTGCACGTATATTTCCTTGATGAAGAAACAAGTTCATACGGATCGAAAAAATGCTCAAATATTTTCCGTCAAACGTCCATGCATTTTTGAACCCTTCCAACAGGATTTTTTATTTTCCGCATCTTGTGTTGGTATGTATCCTGAATTCATTTGAATGTTTTTCTCCAGGTTCTCCAGTGTTTTCGGCTGCGGTATGTAGACCATACTTTTCAATCGATTTTATAAGAAGGCTTAAAGAAATAGATCAAGAAATCTTGCTGGCCACGTGATAGGCGCGCCTCTTTCAGTTCACCGACCAGGAAACTGACCATCTAACCACTACCTAACGGGCTTTATGAAGTGAGCCGGAGCTCCACTCTGTTGAAATTATATACGGCTACGTTTATCATCTTCCAAGGATGACAAATATTGGAAGAGAAATTGAGATAACATTTGCAAATATGTTGAGCCATTCACAGTTCCAGAGAAAAAGTACGGTTCCATAAGGGCCGTACAATGTATGCCGAACCATGCGACTACTTTCGGGGGTAAACAGTGATGCGTATCCATTACAAAGCACAGACAGTCTCCAGCCCAGTAGATTTGATTTCTACTATTTACTCCACCATAAAGATGGAGTACAGGTAGTCTAGAAAAATAGAGTCTTTGCACAAAGTTAGTCGCGTTTTCAGTGACTCAACCAACCGTTCGAAGAAATGCACTCTTCCCTCTGTCACTGTATTTTAATGCAATACCTTGGTGAAACTCAAATAGATGAAAGCATGGGCGGAAGTACTCATAAAAAGTTGGTACATCAAATTTCAAGCAGTATTTTGCTTGAACAACATTCTGCTGGGCGAGATCCTTTTCTTCGGCTGTCACAGGTCTGCGGATTACTGAAACCTGTATCCATGATTTTGATCCTCGGTTTCTTCACGGTAGACTGTACAGGTATCGTTCTCTCGGAAAGTAAACGTTTGAATTCACCACACGTAGCTGACGAACTGCGTTTAACAAGACCAACATCGATTTCATTCCATTTCCTTGGTTAGTTCATTATCATCATTTGTACTGAGACCACTCCATTCTTGAGACCGTGAATGATCGTAGTGAACACAGTTCAGCCTAGCTCGTTTGCTTGGTCAATCGAAAATTGAGATCACCATGTGAGAGACCTTAAGTAACATTATATCACTCCGGTTTTTCGAATGCAATTGAGTCATCGTCAGTTTACGCATGGTGACGTAACCCTAACTGAGTAGTGGGTTTAGTTACCGAGTCTGTGTGCGTCAATCAAGCAAGGTGAGTGTATGTGCGTGTATGTGCTGAGAGTGAGAGAATCAAGATATTCGCTCCATATTGCTCGCTTTATCATGGCGCGCCCTATATGTTTCCCTTTGACTGTTACCTGGAACAGGTAGAGTAAACTTATATCCGATCTCTCTCCTCTCCCGTGTGCCAATTGGCTTGACTACTCTCAAAATGTGACATATTTATTAGCACTTGCTGCCATGTCACATCTGTGCCCTTATAATTTATTGGCCTTGTCTTATAGTGTCCTCATCAACGAACTCCGGCCTCCAACTTAGGTGATTTCTCAAGCAACCTTTTTTCCTACTCTTTTCCCTGGTTCACTAATCCACGGGTTTTCACACAAAATCCATTAGGATCATTGTTCACGCATTCGTTATACTTCGCTTCTGGCCTTCCGTCGACTAAGTAAACCTATGTGTTTTTCGTTTTTCGGCTATTTTCGACCTTCATCTGTCCCACCTCCAACCCCAAATCCTGTGTCTCGTGAGTTGAAATGCCATTCCGCACTGTTGCTGAACAATGATCGTTATTGGTCATCCTTTACCACCAGTCTCAGAATCACCGGCTCCCTCTGCTTGTTATTTAACAAAGCCCTTGTCCCTTCCGGCTTCTACTTGCTACCCCATTTGACGAGTGATTCTATCTGCCTTGCCTCGTATGTATTTTATGACTGAGTAGCCCAGAAACCGATGTATATATCCACTTGTGCTTGAATGTTATTCTTTGGTAGCACACATTGATTGCAGAATTCGCGTTCCCTGGCTAAAGAAACGGGGTTCGTCTTCTACGAGCTACTCAACCAATGGACCACAGTCCGCCGCACTAACGAAACAACCTTTCCCACAAGTCAATACAGCATTGAAGATATGTTCTAACTGATCTCATCTTATTGCTTTAACGAATATATTTACCTCACATCGAGCCAAATATGTATGACGTCGAACCGCGTGAATCAACTGAACCCAACGTGTTCGGATTAGTTCATTCAGATCCGCCCAAGTCTCTGTCAGTCGATCTTGCCAGAATGCAATCTGTGGGGCATCGGAATGTCGCGTGCGGATCAAACAACGACACATGTTGACCACTCTAGCCATTCGTAGAGCACCCCCGGTGAGCCCGAGCATTGATTCTTCATCTACTTCAGGAATCAATGCATTTGCTTCCTCCTCAATCGAGGTTTGTGCCTCCTCAGGATGAGTCAGCGATTGGAGTGGGATCCCGAGGACGTGACTGGCAAACTGACTGAACTGGTTCACAAGGTGCAGACATTCAGACAGATCACGTCCCGTAGTGGAAGCTGCCGCGATTGTAGCCTGTTGATGCATCCAAGCCTGTTTGAAAATAGCAATTCCAATCAGGATTTTAAAAAACTAAGCAAATTACTCAGCCAAATAAATTACATATCAATTTCAAGGAACTAGAGTCAAAACACACAAAAGCATGAAATTTCAACGCGGTTTAATGTGTAATTTCCCCAGAATTGATTGGTACTCGCAAAACGAAGTGTTATGTCTTCATTTATGAGTATGAGTGGGGTGACCAGGTTGGATTACGTTTGACGTGGTGTTAGACAGTCGATTTCTCTGAAGCACCTAACCTCAGAGTGTAATCAGACAGGTGTGTTTTTGGGCTAGCCAGATATCAACATTGTGAAAAGGATTGGTCAACATTGGATGCAAATAAAACGTTTATGCTCCTCGCTTTGTAATGATAGAGCATTCGTGTGCGCGCTGTCTTGATGACAACTGCCTTCAAGCAATAATGACTTAAGTGCTAAGTCACCGATTTTTCTCCACGAGTATATTCCATTTCATTGTCATTGAACTACAACATTCAGGGTATCGATTCTGTCCAGTCTTCTCAGGATAAGTTTATCTTTGTTTTAACTTGCTGCTATCCTCTCTGTTATATCAAAAATCAGAAATTAGAACGTAAGCGGAAGTTTGTATTCTGAGCACATCTCACGGAGACGGGTTCAGACCAATAACTGTCAGTATAAAACAAGGTGAACAATGATATGGTCTTGTTGTGTGGCCAACCCATGTGTCGTTGACATTCGCATGTGATTCATTCCGGTCCCGTTGGCCTTGCATTCGCGTGAGCGATGTCTGTCTATCCCACGCTCTTCTTCGATCTTCTTTACCAATCACACGCGGCTAGGTGCACGTGTGACTAACGTTGATTTGTTGTTCCTATTCGCTTGACACATTATTATGCTTGCGCTTGCCAGTGGATGATTCACTTGTTTGCCCGTTTGTCGGCTTACGTGCGCGTTTATTGAAATACTAATAGACGGATCTATTGCGTACTGTGTTCTCTGAATTCTGAACACAGCAGATCTAATTCGAGAGTCAAGGTCACATGACGTACTATGTGTGATGGCCAGCAGTACAGAGAAGGAATAAGGGTGGCGAACGTATTGAGTGTCCGGTGCTATACATGAACGGGGAGTGCAAACGAAGCAAAAAGAGTGTTTCACGAAGTTGCACCGGACTGTCCAATTGCAATAAGCCTAAAGCGAAAATAAACCCTAGTGGAATTTTTGAAGCAAAATTAAATACAAAACAAGATCTTATTTTCAGTGAAACACAATAGGTTATGTTAATTACAAGTTTGTTTATTGTCAATTCGACGAAATGTATGGCGACCAAACATCCAGCGACCAAATCTCCGGCTGCCTAACGTCCGGTCACGTGGTCCGTGTGGACCAAATCTTGGAACGTGTTCACAATCTGGTTTGCTATTTATTTTGATCTTCGTTGCACGGTTTCCGACAGATTGACGCAACGACTCTTCTTCCTGTGGTGTTGTCTCATTCCACACAAGACACTGGAGGTCATCTAATTCAGCAGCAAACGATGATTACTCAATAAGCTTAGAACACTCATTATTTGCAACCAAAATCCTGATCCATGCAAGTAACGTGAATGGTTGGTCTCTTCATCTCTGCCTGTTTAACACTCATTTCAATCAACCTCTCCTTATTTCCCATGATCGTTGGATATCGTTCGAAATTTTGTCTCTTAATGCTCGTTTTTCTCGACCTTATGAACAATTACCGTAACTGCAGCAAGCCCTCTGTGAAAGTACAGTGAATCAGTCCTGGATATAGTGTTCTAACCAATGTTTTAGCTTCTTTAATCAGATTCGTGTAGGGAAAGAATTGTCAATTCCTGATGGGCAGGAATGGATTGCAGTCACCCGACACCATAGACAGGCATCCAGTTTGGTGCTAATGTACCAGCGGGGTTCGGATGCAGAGACCTCTTCCTCCCAGACCTGCAGCTTCTCTCAGTCAAGTTCGTTACATCGTGCTATCAAGCTCGTCCATAAAAGGTTCTAGTGACAAGCCCTGGTAGGCCTCGATTGGCTAGAACAACTGAGTCGGTCTTGATTTTTGGTACAAAATTTCAAGCCTCTGCACAGACTGGATGTAGCACGTATGAGTGTTGCGCATGCCCCCATTGGCAGATCGGTCATGTGATGTTTGCTTCATCAACATTCTTACTCCAATCAGAGTGGTGTGCCTGGACCACTATGCGGATGCAGAATAATAACTAGTCAACACTGCAATCGATCTTTCCCTCTCAATAGGTGCCTCGGACGAAAGCTTCTGCCAAGCACTTTACTTCCCCATGGTTCCGGTTTGACTGTAAAATTTGCGAACGACACTCAATCTTCATTTTGAGGCACACTCACAAGCTGTCGTATTTTAAGCAGTTAGACAGAAGGCGTGGGGCTAATCAACATGTCGGAACCGAACGAGGTTTGGAGAGAACCGGAAAAACGATACGCCATGTGATGTGTTAAACGAGAAAATGTCGATAACACGTCGTTGTCACTGGGGTAATTATGAGTCGACTTTCGGCTGTCGTGGTCAACCTTTCACAAGGCAGTTTTTACAATCAAATGACTAAGTATCCACTAAAATGTCAACGGAAGAGTGTGTGTGTGTGTGTGCGAATTTGTTCCTCGATCAGATCGAATGAATTGTAGTCACACTGGGTCCCAATATCCGAGTCCATGATGACGAGGTCAACTGTCGATGTGACCTTTGGGCTGCTTATTCATTAGTGATGTCAGTGTGGTCCGAATTCTTGGGAACCACTGCCCCGTCATTTCGGTTGACGCATACAGGGTGGGCAATAGCTGTCAGAGCTTCGGCATACAAACGCTCAGTTCATATGTCTCAGTCCGTGTTGGAGGATTTTTGTGTTTTCCTAGTCTATAATGTGCCCTTCATCAATGATGTGAAGAGCCATCGCTGAATCCCGCTCTAGTTTCCCTAAGGGTGTCATGTTGGAAGGCTTGCATTTTTCTTTTCTTTTGTGCTCCACTATTCTGATCTCAAGCTGTTTTGATGTTTGTCTAATATATTCAGCTGGACATTCCTTGGAACTGATTTTGTAAATGCAGCTGTGTTGGTCTTGTAAATTAATTGAATCATTGGGTGTGGTGAGATGGTGAGATGTGCGGATGTTTATTTTACGCATTGCGGATGAGCTGAATCGAACTGTAAATATTTATCCGGTTGCTTTGGTTTTCGGTGGACACCGATGGCGAATTTCTGAGAGTAATTCACCCTCAGACGACTCTGGAAAATTTACTACCCCGTCAGTATCTTCTGTCTCAATTGTAAAATTGATGGAGCTGCATTGTTCATTATGACATCTTTCTGTTTGGATTTGATAACCACAACAGCATCGTCAACGTAGCTTTCATGTGAACATGTGCCGGGGGAGTGTCAAAATCAGCTAGGGCCTTCGATTCGATTGAATGTAAAAAAAAGATTGGTAACCATTCGAGAGACAGGAGATCCCATGGGCACGCCATCAGTTTGTCTGTATAATTTTTGTTTGAAGGTAAAGTAAGTTGAAGTCAGACAAAGTTCTAAACCAGAGACAGTTCCTGATGGGATGTAAATAATCTAGGCGGTTTTTCAATCCGAATTCTTGTATATAAGGAGATAACACGGAAACTTATGGAAACCTCATCACTCATTGGTTCGATTTTTTGTACATTGAGGGCAAAGTCGAAAGCGTCATTATTGTGACTTACCACCATTTTTTGATACGGTTTTGACAAAGAACTGAGACATCTTGCTCACCTGTAGTTTTCACATGGCGTGTAGTCCACAATCGGGCGAATAGGTATATTCAGTTTATGGATTTTTGGTAACCCAATAAATCTGCCAGGCCTGTTCGTTTTTGGTGCCAGAGCAAGCCATTATGATTTTCCGAGTTTTTCTTTGAGGTTTACCAGATATTTGTTTGTGACGGCTTATGCTTTGTTAGGGGCGGCATTTGCTCTCCACTTGCAAGATGTTCCAATGCTTTTGATTTGTAATCTGATCCATTTAAGATGACAGTGGCATTGCCTTTGTTAGCCTTTGAGGTGTGAATAGAATGATTCCGCTTTACCGCAGTTGACACCTTTTTTCTTCTGTTGTTATATTTGAAACATTTGGTTTTTGGTTTTTCAGGATGTCGCGTATTCTTTGTTGGGCTTGACTGGCCTCTTTGCCACTACTGCCTCGGATTCCGGGAGCCGGTATGAATAACATCCGATCGGTTCAAACGACGGACGGCTTTACACACACACTCCCGTTCACTTGTTATTGATTACTGATCCATTTGACTGTAAAAACTACCTCAAGAAATGTTACCCACGGTAACCGAAGCGTCGACTCGCAATTTTTCTACCGACAACGCCTAATCACCGTGTTCACACAGCTTAGTCCTACTTGTTGAGATATCCAGTCCAACTCTAACCGGAACCGTGAAGAAATTGAGTGCGTGGTCGAAGCACCCATCTAAATCATGCACTGAGAGCAAAAGAATGGTCGCAGTGCTGGTTAGTTATCAATATGAATTAGCATAATGAGTGAAGGACACCAGTTTGGTTGGTAACAATGCTGAGGACGAAAAAATCACATGATCGCTCTGCTAATGGACTTCCGTGTAACTCTGTTACGTGGTATGCCCGGTCGGCGCAAAGCATTGAATTTTGCGTGGGAAATTCAGGCACATCCTATTTCCCGAGTCGATCAAGGATCATCTGAAGCCTGTCACTGGAGCATTTTATTAAGGAACATGACATAATTGCATAACAAACTTGATTTCATGGTGTGACCAACTTGATTTCACTGTGCGATGAACCTGATAGCACGATATGATGAACTTGTCCGGATATAGCTATCGTGGGTCAACTCAGAACACCTACCAAGAGCACTTACTCGATGGGTTTGTTCACCTGACACTGGTGCAAATTCGTTAATCTACTGCTTCCGTGTGTGTGTGTGTGTGTGTGTGTGTATTTCTAAGTATAATTCACTGAACTTTTGTCTGGTCTGGCCAATCCGCTTTCCAACCGATTGTCCTTTGCTTGACACAGTTTTATCACATCCTGTTTTGTGGGCCATTTTAACACTGATATTTCCACTGGTATATTTGCAGTTGGTATCACAGTAATTGAATAACACCTCCTTATTTTGAGTGCTGATGTATAACTTTCATGAGTGGAGCGCATTTACAATTTACTGAGTTATTACTCCACATTCATTCAATCCTATTGCATCATTAGTTAGTCTCAACTTTCCTCGCTTTTGATTCGAAGCTTTATCCATCACTCAATTAGTCGATAAAGATAGGAGTAGGCGGGCTAGATTTCGTGGACAAAATTTGCACAGTAATTTGAGCTTTTGACATCATCATCAGTATCCGTCGATCGAATCCCATCAAGGACTCAATCAAGGAGCATTCTTGCACATTTCTGTCTGCGAATGTGTATAATTCAGTATCAAGTTCTACTAAAGAATGTTTTCCAGAGACCATGTCTAATAGGTTATTTGTTTTGACCTTGCTTTGTTCTGACCCACACTGAAGAATGCACACAATTAGGGCCGGTGACTGTGTACGGTCTGTCCAGTAACTCCGATAGCAGTTCATATCTGCCGAATTCCCGATTTTACTATTGGAAAAATTGTCCGTAGTCAGAATCCAAGCAACTGCCATGGATTAAGGGGAAAATCCCATCGAGTTTACTCGTGCACAGCAGGCTGAGAAGTGTTTGAACCAATTACAGACGGCTGCTGCTACACTATTTGGCCCGACGATGTACCCTACACGTCAGATTCTCACGCCCATTTGGGATTCGTGAGAGATACACTGCTAACCATTCCTAACAAGGACAAAACTGATGATCTCTGGGTGCATTCACAGACTTTCAACAAGGATTCGAGCATGAATATTTGGTGATAAATATTTTCCAACCACCTTTTCATCGGCTAGAGGTGGAGTGGTATGTTCCGAGATGGGTCATAAGGTCCCATCACTTTCGGTCAACACTTTGATGTCACCTCTGATGCAATGGTTCTCTTTCTTTAACGACACAATTGAATACTATGGTTTTCAGCACAGCTCTGTCAATGTGTTCACATGTATCACTCTGCTTTAGAAACAGGTGTGATATTATCATCTTCCAATTAGTAAAGTCAGTCAGACTCACCTCCAAATCAACAATCTCCTCATAGACCACATTTAGGGCCAACAACTCCTCTAACCTTTGACGTTTTTCCACGCATACATCACGCAGACTGGCATACTGCCGATCAATGGTCGCCTGTATAGCTTTCAACACTTCAATGCGTTTCATTAGCTGTTTGTAACGCGCACGCAATTGACGTTTCACTTGTTTTCGATCACGTAGTTCCTGTTCGTTCATATCTATCCGTGGTTCATTTGGTCGTTGTAGTAATTCCAAATGCTGCTTCAGTTCATCTGATTGTTCACGTGATTGATTGAGAAGTTGAATTGTATGAGCATCTGTCGCGTGAGCAGATTGAACGGTAGAAATAGGAGTGATAAATGATAAACAAGTTCGAAAATGAGATCGCGTTACCTCATGAGAAATGATCATGAGAAATAGATTTATTGAAACCAACAGTTCCTACCATTGTGTTGTGCATGGTACCATTGTTTTACTATTATCTTTTGATACTTGGACATTTCTACTTCCTACTTTAAGCATGGTTCCCGACTGCTTTGGCTTCTCACCATAGGACTGATGCGAATCTCAGATATGTCGTTCTTAGGTAACCGTTATTAGACAGCGAAGGCAACAAAACGATAATCTGCCAGTGCTTCAATCGGTTTCCATCAGCAAACGCATCAATATCGGACTAACGTTCAACGGTTGAGTGACCGATACAAAAAAACCGAAATTTAAGTTTCAAATATATGTAAACTTTGGACACTCACGGACTGCGTTGTCAGAAATGTTCGTAATTAGCCGGCGATTCGGTTATCACGTTTAACTGGCCTCAGTGGTAACCTACGCGTTTAATCCAGCAAGAAGACCCTCCTACCTTCGAACTATCTCATTTTATTTGTACACAAGAGGCAGTCTGTATAAGATGCATGGTATTCATAACCAATTCCTTGCATGAAAACTTATTGGCTCAACTATTGTTTACGACAGGCTCTTCTGACTGGTTTGTCTGATTATAACCCGATTGGTTGATTGTCTTGTAGTCATTTCAGACAGCTGTTTAAACCTGTTTAATTCATTGATCCGCTTCACTAGTTCCAGTGTATTTTCCGATTCTGAATAAGCGACGGTGTGCTGTCTGCTAGCTAAACCACCGATCTGCTCGCTGATTCCAAACCCGCTGTTGATTCTTGACAGGAGATGACTTACTATCTACTACCCGAATTAGGCCGTCTAAAGACAATGTGGCCGCCTTCACAGACATATTATACGCGAATCAGGAGAGCATGGTTGATGGCATATCTCAAATCATGGGTTTTCCAGCCACGGTAGACAGAAAAACGACGGGCTTTCTAATGGAGATAACACATACACGTGGGTCGAGAGCAAAGTCATACAATGAGCGAAGGGGACTGACAATTTTATGAGACACACGGTCATGGAAAACCGTTTTCACTGTTTGACGTCGGGCGCCGTGGCAAAGAGAATCAGGTAACCAAGACCATGGGGGTCAGGGAGCTGAGGTCAATGACCCAACAAGAACGAAGGGAATAAAACAAACAGACGGATTGCGATTCCGTCAATGGAACTCCTTCGGAAACAAATAGATCAGTGAACTGGTTACACAGCCCGCCCGACAGTCAACCCATAACATAAGCGCGATCATACGAACTTGCAGATAAGACAGTAAGTTAACTATGCCTTGGTAAAACACCAGGTAAACAAGTGTGGGTCGACAGTCTAAGAACGCACCTGAGGATAATAGGTGACGCACCAATCAATGGATTCATCAGCTTCAGTTGAATTCAAAACCTAGCACGCACACCTCTCATATTTTAGTTCGGTGTGGGCCATACCTTTTGAACTATCAGGCCACATATTGGGCTTTGATTATTCCGTGAATGAGCCACATCTGGTGTCCAACCTAATTACAATGGCAAAAGGCATCCACCACAGTGAACTTGCCAACCGACCGCCTCCACAGCGATTTCCCTTAGCATCGGCATGAGTCCATCAGCTTAAGACACATGACTGATTGACGAATTCTGCCAAGTGGATCAGCTGAAATCTGAAAAACCAAACTTCATGATTGGTAACAATTACAGGGAACTCACTGAAATCTCGCACACTGGCAGCCAATAATCCATTCACCCGTTGTTCCACATTGGCGTGCTTTCGTAGCTCTGCCTTGGCGGTCACTGTGTCACGACTTGCACGTGAATCTAGCAAGACAATTGCCTCGGTCTCCGCGAGCCAGGCACATAATTCATTAAAATCAGCCAGATGTTTCAAGCATCGATGACCCACATCCAAGAGAGAACCACGTTGTTCAAGTCGAGTGTGCAATTCCACGCGGTCTCGCCTGACGTCGGCACACATACTGGTCAGATCATGCAGAACTTGAGTTCGTAACCGAAACTTGATACCATTGGAATGAAGCAGAATTTGATCAGATCCGTTGGTCAAATCTTTAGAAGCGGTTGATCCGGCTGCACGAGTTTGCCACTGGATGAGAATGCTATCAGCTTCCTGTAGTAGAAGATAACCGATGTGGTTATTTGGCACCATATTTGATTTCTCACTACCAACTAATGAACAAAACATTTTTAGACACAGCTTCTGATTTACAGCACAGAGTGTGAACCTAGCAGAGAGGCGGTGAATCTACGTTGGGTGTGATCGGATAGAAAGTTTTGTTCATCAGGGGACATTATCCATTCACACTGTTCAGGCTGTTTGGGAGCTAGGCTCATTCGGAACGTAGGAATGTGACAGGGCTAGCCAACTGTTTGGGCATGTATGAAGCACCATTGTGGTAAAAATCTTCCAAACTGAGAAAAAGTTTAAAAAGGCTTTCATTCGGTTACTCTGGTATACCTCTTGCGATTTTACGTAAGCGTATGTTTGATGCCTGAACGTGATGACATGATTCCTGTTTTAAATGCTTAAAATGAAAGTTGCCTACTAACACTGCTTCCAGTAGACAAAAGTTGAATGCACATACGAAGAGGAGGTAGATGTCCTAGGTAGTTAAATGGATACCTCAGCAGATCCAGATCTTAAGCGGCTCATTGCTATCGTCTGCTCAACTGAGTCCGAATAGTTACTAAAGAAGGCCGTTGTGTGAATGCTTTATTATATGCAACCTTCCGTGATGACATGAAAGTTAGAAAACATAAAGCAGAACCCATTCACTGCAAGTATTCTGCAGTTTGAAGTGAGGGAGTCCTGATATCGAGTTACCAATTTATCACCGGTTACTAAATCTCCTCGAGCAACCAATGGGGTAATGATTGTGTCTAAACTACAATCAAGTGAAACCGAAGTGAATGACAACAGTTAATTCGATCCCAATCGGGTATCTTGAATCATGCAACAGTAATCATTTGGTGTGTCCTGCAATGTTCCCGTCCACTTAAGACACATTTTGAGATTATGTGGATTGAGTTTGGTACTTACAAGGCAACTGAATTTTTTGGTGCAATGTTCACCTTAGAGAATAAGCTAGTAGGCCGTTTAGGAAGCTCTAGAAACTTCGAGAGATGGTTGCTGGCTTCGTAGTTCTTCTGGTGGGGTCCACGCATTCAAGACAGAATGAAGATGGCGTTTGTGAGTTGGTTAAATGCCATCGAGGAACGAGACTTTAAACGATCTTCTCAATTCAGTGAATTTAAAATTTCACTAAACCCTACCTTAAAATATGACTCTGCCATGTCCATAACAATCTTCATCTTCTCCTTATCGATTGCCTCAACTCAAAGCGACCGTGATCTGTTCGTGGTTGGAACACTTGTACTTGATATCCATGCCTTGGTTTTAAGATTTGAGGACCTCTGTGATACTGATGGTTCGTTTCTATTTGCCTTATATCTGTTTTGCGTCAGGTTTCCATCTTCTAAACAGGAGACATTATCAAAGCAGTTACAATAAATGGAGCTAATATACCATGAAATTTCGAAGCTCCACCTGATGATGAAGGACCTTGAAGGTGATGTAAAGATTAACTTTCACTTATAGAAGGTCAATCACAGTGAATAATCAACTAAACACTGAATGAACTCAGACGAGGATATAAAAACCTGAACTATGGGACCCATCGAAAACGACAAATAAATTGAACACACAGACCAAAACGCCAAAATTCAAATGGGACAGTTGCAGAGTGTTTTATTCACATTTGAATAGCGTGTGAAATTTGACGAATTACTCAGTACTGATTTCTTATTTGTGGCCTGTCTTTTTCTTCCAGCAATGAGTGTCAGCACAGTGGAGAGGCGCAAAATACGACCTAAAATTCCTAGTACTTTGGCTGAAATAACCGGTAACCATGATACTGAAAAAGATTTGAGAACCGCATGATATCTTATCGACTGACGATTGGGGGTAAAATAATTTTTTCACCTGAACAGAGAAAAGAAGTCCAAAAACAACAACTGGTCCTGCCACAGTGCCACACGGGTTGAGTCACAAGAACAGATTAACCACAGAAGCAACATTTACCAAGCATTACGGCAATTTACCAAGATAACCATTTTCAGTCTAATGAAAGGCTTTAAAGACCAAGCAATTGGTTTATGGGAATGGCTGGCGCATTATCATAAGACGGCTTGGCTTTTTTGGTTTGGCGAACAGCCAGCACGTCTTCGTGTGTCCTGAAGTGAGGACAAGATTGAAGCAAACGAAGCGGACCGAAGAATCAATCAAATACCAACAGTTGTCTGGACTGAATAAACCATTTGGGTTAGTCCCCAGAATAACCGCTCAGGAGAACCGGATGAGAATTACAGGCGAACCAGTGGGCGTGCAAGCTGAGATTCGGTTTGATCACCATTCATCGTATATAAACTGTCGTTTTTGCGCTAATAAACTGAGATGATTCGAAGACAGAATAGTCTTCTCCCTAGAGTTATTGGGAAGGGTCAGAAAAGCAGGCAGTCTTTCACCAGCACCTATCCTGTTACCCACAGTTGAACAAGTCAGATACGATAGCTTTGATCATGCATTCGTTTGGTATACAATGATTTTAGATAAATAGGGACTCACTTTCAGCAGTGATTCCACATGTGCATCCCGCACGGCAACTTCTTTGAGCATCGAACGATGCCGTCGAATGAGATGATTCACGGCTAGCAGTGATCGACCAACATCCTGATTGTTAGCCACGTTAATTCGTTCACGAATCCATATTTGTTCGTCTACCAAATCGCTGATTGGGATGACAAGAAAATTGAAAATTACTTTGATTAATAGCATCAAAACTGGTTTTATAAGTCTGATGAGAAAAACAGAATATTACTTTCGTACATTCTTGCTGGTTTTGATGATTGTGAACAATAAAGATTTTAAAAACAGAACCGAAAACACCGTGCCTTATGGTAATTGATATGTGTGATAGCCTTGAAGAGGATAACATTTTATCCCGCGGGGGGCGACGTTTATCCATTACATGAAATGACTACTTGCTGTTAACAGTAGCCAGGTAGTGGAATGTAAAAGGATAGGAAGAGGACGCCATTACTTGTGCTCTTTTGAAACCTGGAGTGAAGAAATTCAGGTGAAGTTACTTGTTATTTTCCCTCTAGTAAATTACACTTTTGGCAGAACCACTTTGTTGCAACAGAATTAACCAAATGAAATGCCGATTTGCCAATGCTCGGCGAGGTTCAGTGAAGTCCTTTTATGTAGACGGAATCCAGATTGTCAGCAGTTGTGGAACCGACTTCTTTAGCGGTACAAAGAAAATGGAGACAAATATAACCACTAAAGACTTGAGAAACCGCAAGTGCTGATGCAGTCTCACTGATGTATGAAATCCCCTGTAACTACTTAAAGAAGGGACTCATCAGGCTGTCAATCATGCAATCGGATAGATCAGAATACAGTCATTTTAATCTTTGAATTGGCCCTCAGCGTAAGCAGGAATATTTTCTTGACTATTTTCGTTTTGCTTATAACTTATGTACTTTCGTCTCATGAGGTTCAATATGGACTATTCGTCCGTCCTTGTGAACGAATTTCTGATACACGGGGCTCTGACTAGTAACGGTATTTGTTAAATCTGCTCCAAAATCCCTAGTAGGAGGACATATCTGCGCCCGAAAAGTCGTGGTTTGTTATCGCTGGGCGGACGACTTTTGTGTGACATCGTGCGACTACATTCAAACAATATACAAAACCTAAATGGTCCGGGTGCTCTTCGAATCATTCCATCCAAGTGGTTATTAATTCGGCCACCCCTGCTTGATAAATTTCATGGCTCAATTAGTCGATCTGTGCCATCAGCCAGCTGTCTGCTATTCTACCGCCCGTGACTCTGTTTACACTAGATTTGACCATGGTTGCGAACAGGCATTCATCTTTCGGCACAAGTGAGATGTATCCTTGCAATGAATTAACCAACATTCTCAATATACTCTGAACAATTTTGGAATCTTCTATCGAAGATGGCAGGAATGAAGTTCTCCCATCTGCGGTTTTTCGCTGTTTGTGGTAAGTAGAATAATTTTACGAAGTCAATATAGCTATAATATATATTCTTCATCGGATAAATAGAATCACAGTCAATGAAAATTTTGTTTATAATTGGTAATTATACACGTAATAACTCATTTGTGAAAATTTCTGCCTATCAAGATGAGTCTTAGTCGACCGAACGGTACATGGTTGGAACTCCATTGACGTCGGTCAGATTTGGTGGCAGACAGTACCACGGCCACCTAGTAGGTTACCTCGTCTGGCCCATTGGAGCCACAAATGTTTATCTGTCAAATGTCTCAGATCTGTAATTGCAAACCATTAGATACTGTATTGTATTTGATGCCGATTGAGATGGGTGCACGGTTTTACCGCTCTCCAGATTACGCGAAAACAGAGAAGAGTTTTTTTACAGCGGTTGATTGTGACAATTCACTCAATATTTACTGTAGTAAGAAACGGAATCTTTTTCATGAACAATTCGGAAAAATTAAGTTAGTAACTTACAATAACAATCGGTGATATTATTTTTGTGCATTGATCTGTGCCGAACGTTTTTTCACCTCATGCCGTATCAACCAGTAACGCTTTTCCAAAGTGTTCAGATCCGGTACCTGATCAACTTTCATTGTCGTCGTGGGAGAGGCCTGTTGCAGAATGGCTGCATGCTCCTACAGGTGAAGACGGTGTTGACAGTTGTAATTGTGATGGGTAGCGGTACGAAAAGTTAAGCCAGCATTAGAAGTCAGTGCCGATGAGGGACGTGATTCAGTGCTGTTTGTATAACATGGTGTTATGCTAATCGTAGTCATTTAACCGATAGAACTTGCTGAAGCGGCTCCTAGGCAGGACGACGTACACCGACGTAATAAGAATACCAAGGATAGGGAATCGCATGTTACGGAACTTATTCGTGTATATAAGTATGCTTGAGTGTGCTAAGTGGTAAGTTCCTGGTCGACTAACCACAGCTGACTTTGGTTACACTTGTTCAAGCTGTTTCTGATAGGCTGAGGCTTCCACTATTCCTGGCCACGAAGCCTAACCACACGGGGTCAGGTGAACTTCATATCTAATCACCACCGCTGAGTTGCATTGTGTTCCATTTTGGCTTGTCGTATTTTATCAATTTCGTTTAAGAAGTATTGTGTACCAGCGCCTACATTTTAGTCAAAACCAAAGTCACTAGCTCCATATATAATACACCAAAATTCATGAGTAATTCGAGCAAACTATTTTCCTGTAGATCGGTGAGTTCCTCAGAGTCCCCACTGCATCGGTACTTTGGACACTGAGTCCGTTGGACTGGTGGAGGCGACAATAAGGTAATAGAAATGTTAAGCCAATTTTGTTACAATGCATGATTCACTTCCTGAACAACTTTGCTCCATCTCTGCTGATGCTTTCGACGGAACGATTTATGGTTTATATACAGTCGTGCAATGCTGCCATATTGACGTCTCTTATCAGCTTCAATACCGACGAGGTTTGCTTCAAAAGTAATAAGACTAATCCCTCATAAGCGATAACAGGATAACTTGGTGACAATTAGATGTGTAGATGTGTGTTTACTGGTTATACCCATGACGTTTGTAATTATTAATTTGGTTACTGCTAGCGATGTTAGTAGTTCGTTTTTGAGGTTTACCTACGTCATCCTTGAAATTAAGAGTGAGGACATCATTTTGTGCAAATTATAACTTCGAACGTGTAACTGTTGACCCCAACAGTGATTTCAGAAAAAAAAGTAAGGGCTTCTAACAGCATTGTTAACGATGCTTATATGAATATGTTCCCGCCTTTTATGAATAAACTGGTCATGTTATTCAAGTTTGCAGCTCCGAGCACAGAGAACCAGAATAAAGGGGCATTTACACATGTTACTCTGTACGAACTTCTAGGACTTTGTTTGACGGCACCTTGTACAGTTTCTGGAATTTTATTTAAACGGATGAAAGTATCTGACCTGGTATTCAGAAGTTTACGCTGAAGTGCCTTGAAATCATTTGTTAAAATAGTAACAAGGTCATCGGAGTAGCAGTAAAGTAAATAGAGAGAACACACTGAGAGAGCAGAAAGTGAAAACGGACAGTCTGTTTGTCTGTAATTGTTCAAAAGTCAGTAAAACACGTCTTCCATGGGGTCTGTCATTACCTGACATTTTTGTGGATGTGGATCACTTAACTCAAATCAGGCTAACAATCGACACACTTCCAAATTCGATCGGTTACGATGTCTACTTTTGATCGCAGAACTAACTAGTTTTTCATAGACTTAAAAGTATTTCAACCCTTTTTTACTGAAAAACTACCGTATACTTTGCGTGACAAAAGTATGGGACCTCCTCTCATTTTCCTGCACATATTCACTTCTGCTCTCGCTAACGAAACCATATCCGGCCAGAAAGATCGGCTGCCCATTACGACGCAGAATATGAAATTCCACAACAAAATAAACTATTATGTAGTAACTAAATCAGAATATGCAAAAGGGGTGGGTGCTAGTACAGGACCCCATTCAGCTCGGCTTCAATAAATACTTCTAAATATCGTGTGCAACCTCTGTTCTGCTTGTGAACCTCGATGCATCTTCTCAGCAAACTTCTCACAAGACCAGCCATTGTCCCTTGATCAATATTCACCCACATTCGCATAAGAGTGTGATGAATTCACTCTCCGGCTGATAAACTATACAATCCTTGTAAACCTGGCGAGCAATTATGACCCATAGGTTCTCAGTCGGATTTAGATCTGGGCTACAGACTGGCTACTACATGACCTTGATCCCAAGGAACAACAGCCAACATTTTATAGTGTATGAGTAGTAGAAAAACATTATCATGTTGAAATATTACATCATCTTGTAATATGTTAACAACTAGCGGGAGCAGGATCTGTTACAATGTACTCGAATGCATAACGGAATCCTGTTTGTCGTCGAGTTTAACTAGCTCACCTTGGCCGTTGGCTGAGAAGGATCCCAAACCATCACTGAACTCTTGTCATTGGTTCTTTGACTAAAAATGCCTTCTTTTTTTCTGATATCGTACTAGTAATAATTTTAAGCATCCGGTCCATCCTAATTGAATTCTTTTCACCCCTAATGTAGACATTCCCCCAGTTTTTCAGTTCATGCTACGTGCCTCTCAGTCCATGATAAGTGTGGTTCTTATATAATGGTGTGAGAGCGTTGCATAATGTCATCCTTTTGGCATTTTATCCGTGGCACAACGTTCAGTATCTTTTGTAACGTTCGTTTTGAGACACCGACTTCCATCGAAGCTTTCAATGTCGACTTGGAGCATGTGCTATTGGAGGTTAGACGAATTATTGTACTTTCGTTCGATTTTGTTAGCATTTTGGACGACCCGTTCGCTTTTTAGGTTCACTTTACTCGCTACATCACAGACAACGTCATACGACATTTCTCGATCTCTCGCATTGCTTGGAGATCTCATGCAAACTAATTCCTATTTGATATAACGCGGATAATTCGATCTTTTCGAATTCTGTTAGTATTTTATTGTGATATTACGCAGATAAAATTTGGAGTGAGTTCTGTAAGGTGTATACGCGCAACCAGTGAGAATGGATGTCACCTAAAAAACACTGAGATGCTTC